TGGTGGGTTTGGTCCAGGATTGTTTGCATGGATGTGTGAAGGAGGGAAGTGTGGAGAGCTGCTGCAGGGCTGCTGCTGTTTTATTCTGCCCAGCTGGGTGCCGTGTTTTTCCTTCAGCTCTCTCCTTTGAGTTGGGCAGGAGGGGCTGGGTGTTCTTAGCTTGTCGAAGGCTGGCAAACTGCAAGCATGTAGCTCCTGCTGGTGCCGTGCAGTCACCGCTACAAGCAGCACTTGCAGTCCTGCTGGGTGCTTCAGCCACACCAGCACCTTCTTTTTAACTCTCTTCTCCGTCCCCTGTACGTGTATGTGCATTTGTGTAGGCAGCAAATCAGGGCTGCTGGGCTCAGAGCAGCTGGAGGAGCACAGGTGGGGAGCGAGGAGGATGGGTGAGGGTCTTGGCCCTTCCTGGCCCTTTGTTTCTGTTCCCGTGGGTGCCCCGTCCCTTCCCATGTCCCCACCAGACACCTGCTCTGCAGCAGCAGCGCACAACCTCTGCGCCTCCAACCCCGGCCCCCCGTGCTCTGCGGGGTGCAGCCTGCAGCCGAGGGCCACGAGGAGGAATCCTGGGGCAGACAAAGGTGCGAGAAGCCACCGAAGTGTGGAAATGCCTGTGGGGAGCACATGGCTATAATTACACCGAGGGGAGGAAGTGACCACGTTGCCTTCCAGCCCCCAGACCGGGCGCCTCACCTCGCTCACACACAGCCCGGCCTTTGTGCAGCCGCAGGGCTCAGCCTCCAGCCCAGCCAGAAGCAGCCCCCAGCTCCCAGCCCCAGCCCCTGCCCGCTTACAGGAAGGGACCCAGGCTCAGCTGCTGGCTGTGGTTATGTGCAGCTGTGGTGCTGCGTGGGTGCTTTTGGGACGGCCTCTCCCTCCCCAGGCCCGACCCCTCTGGGCACAGCCCTGCCTCTGTCCTGGCGTGGCTGAGGGGACGGTGGCACAGCCATGTGGGCACGGTGCCTCTGCATCGCCTCTGGCAGCCAGTTCCCCCCGGGGTTCCCCTGGCTCATCCTGCACCACGCACATGTCCGGGGCACGAGCCCTAGGGCTCCGGAGCCACCTGGGGCTGGCAGTGCCACCGCACTGTCACCTCCCTGCTGCAGCTCGGCCACGCGGTGCCACGGGGCTCCTCGGAGCCTGGTGGAGGCGGCTGAACAACTCCTTGCTGGTGACAGAGCAGGCAGCAGCTCCCAAACCTTGTGAGACCTCTTCACAGTGCTGAGGTTAATTTTGGAAACCCACCGCATCTGGGCTGGCGTCCAGCCGAGCTTCTCATTCCTCTCTCCGTGCCCTCTCCTGCTGCTTTGCAATCCCTGCGGTGTGCCTCCCTCGCTGTGAAGCCTCTGGGGGAGACCATGGGGTGACCCCGTGGTTTTGTTTCCCTTGTGCTGTTTTGGGGTGAGCAGACCTGGGGCTGTGCCCTCACTGGGGGGGAGGGATGCGGGCATTTGGGACTGAGGGGTCCGGACCTGGCCCTCTGCTGTGCTTGGGTGGTGCCAAACCCGGCGCTGGGCACAGAGCTGGGCACCGCAGGCAGAACTGGATCCTCTGCCTTCAGTGGCACCGCTGCTGGCCCCGGTACCGTTGGCAGGCGTATAAAGGGGTTTCCTGCATGAGGTGGGCATTTCGGGTCCTCGCTTGGTTAAGTGGCCGCGGCACCGACCCCTGGGTTAGGAAGCGTGTTGGGATTTTCTGTTATTCCTGTAAAAATAGGCGAGGACTTGTGCTTGCAAGCCAGGAAGAGAAGCTGAGCCCCTGCATATCCAGTGTTGTAGGCAACAGTTTATTCTGAAGTGTGATGGAAAGAAAACACGCATGCACACAGCGAGGTTCCCGCGCTGGCGCACAGCAGCCGGGGGCGGCTCCCCTCGCGTCTGATTTCCTGGCTTTCCATGATGTAATGCAGGGGCGATGCGATGGCGGGGTTTTCTGTTCACTCACTAATTGGGTGTGTGGGGCTTTCTACGGGGAATTTGGAAGCTTGCTCGGAGAGGCTCGGTCCTGGGGTGTTGCTTCTCCCTTTTTTCTCATTTATTTTAAAGCGAAAGTGCCGAGCCGGGGTTCTGGGAAGTGCTTTTCCTATCAGTGACTGTGTTTGCTTCCAGTGATTCAGCTCGCTCCTTTTAGACCTGTCTGGCCTTGTACTACATCTCCTGGCCTTCTGCCCATCCGTGCCCCCTCCCGGGGCTGGCAGCGATGGCGTGGGGAACCCAGTGTCCCCAGCAGACTCGAGGGAGGGGTGCCAGCCTCCAGCCCCCCCTCCTGCCCCCAAACCTGCAGCTGTGTGAAGTGCCGTGGTGCAGGGACTGTGCTGGGGAGTGGATGCGAGGGGAAAGATTGTGCTTTTCTTCCACTTTCACTAGCAAAATGAGAGCCTCTTACCTCATTTTCACTTTCCGCTCCCCACCGCAGGGTGCTGGGACACGCAGTCGGCCCCAGCTGCCATCTCCTTCCCAAATCCCTTTGTTCCCCTGCCCCGTCCCAGCAGTGGGCGCAGCCCCTGTGCTGCCGGAGCCTCGTCCCTGGGACCTGTGTGGGGCAGCCGCCGGTCGCTGTGGTTGGGACAGGGCGTTGGGGTGGGGAGGGTGCCCGTGCTGCCTCTTCCTTGGGCCACAGCACCTGACAGCTGCTGGAAAAGGGCAGAAGCTTTGCCTGGGGGACTTGTAGGGGCTGTGCACCAACAGGAGCTTTTTCCAGCGGGAGTGGTGGTGCTGGGTTCCCCCGTGGGGATGTCCGGCTGCTTGCTGAGGGCTCATCTCACTCTGATGCGGGAGCTGTCACCCGGCTGCCCATCTACCTGCCCGCTGTGTCCATGGAAGGCTCCAGCAGCTCTGAGTGTGGCTTCACTCCTCTGTCAAACCTGGGCGAGCTGGCCAGCAGGTCGGAGTGCTGCTGGTACCGACAGTTGGAGGCATGCAGGGAGAGGGCAGGGTTGTGTAAGTCCCCTTAGGAAACCCATCTAAAAATAACAGGAACTGGCCTGCCCTCCTTCCCCTCCCCGATGCCTCTGACATCCAGGATGGCAGGGCTCTGGCTTTACACCCCCTGGTATCTGCGGTGTGCTTTTGGTGCCAGAGCTGTGGGGTGGCGGTGGTCACGGCGCTGTGCCCCCATGGCCCCGCAGGCATGGCTCATGATGGGTGACCCCGTCACGGCGTCCGGCCACGGTGCTGCTGCCGCTGAGTCCCCGCAGGCCATTCACAAGCTGCCCGTGTCATTCGCATGAGTGTTTTTCTGCCCATTCTTATCGAGACTCGGAAAGATCCTTTCCTGTGCTTCCTTGGGAAAGTACTTCTGTGGAAAGGGCGGTGGGAGGAGGAAGCCGGCGGCCGGCTCCGTCCGGGATGGGGACACTTGGAAACCTTTTCTGTGCCAGCTGGAGGCGGGGAGGCTCCTGCGTGCTGGGGCAGGGCGGGCGCCTGGGCTCTGCGCGGATCCGCAGCGGGGTGAGGACAGGCAGCGTGAGGACAGGCACTGAAGGCAGCACCACCAAAACGTCTCTCTCTGCCTCCCCACATCCACGGGGCGATGTGCGGGGGCTCCCACGGGTGCAGGCTGCCTGTGGCTGCGCTGGGTGTCCTGTGGCTCCTGCACATCCCTGCACAGACCCGTCCGGCACCGCAGGCATGCTCTTCTACCAGCTCGGTCCCGCTGCCGTAAGGGGTAAGCGGGGCACCAGGGCACACCGGGAGGGTGCACGGCTCTGCTCCTGGCTGCCCTTCCCTTCCCTCTGCTGTCCCTTTCGGGGGGTGGATGTGCCAGACCCATCCTTTCCTGCGGGTGGGGGGGATTCGGGCTCTGTGGGGGCTGCAGAGGGTCCTGGCTCTCAGCCCTGCCCTTCCCACAAGGCTCGGGACGCAGCTAAGGGCAGCTGCGCAGCCTGGACCCGTGTTCGGATGCTCGTTCCAAACCTCCTCCCCGAAACGTCCCAAGTATTTGGGTCGAGGGTTTTGGCTTCCTCCGCCTGCTTTGCCTGCGGGCTGCTCTCCCTCAGGTCCCGTACACCCGAGGGGTTTCCCAGAACACGGTGCTGGCAGTCGGACGGGCTCGCCCTGGGGATAGCTGGGCTGTGCATGAGGGAACCGGGCCGGGCAGGGGGCAGCAGAAAGCCAGGGGGGCTCCTTGCGTCCCCCGGCCGGCCACAGCCACGGCTGGGCCCGGCACCGCTGAAATTCCCCTGCCTGGGATGGGGCCGAGCCCCGAGCAGGGCACCCTGCGGCCAGGGGGAAAGCGGGCTGGGAAGAAAAGGGGGTGGTCGGGATGGGGGAAGTGGGAGGGAAAATGGAAGTGAACGGCCCTAAGCTTTGATGGGCTCTGAATTGGTTGTGAAAATAAAAACCTTCCTCTCTTGCCTGACGGAGCACGTCCTTTGCTTTGGCGGGTGTAGGAACAAAATGTTTCAAGGAGCAGTGGTAGGACGTTGATAGGGCAAAGGGCAAGACCGGGCAGATTTCGGTTAGATATGAGGAAGAAATCCCTCCCTCTGAGGGCACTGAGGCCCTGTCCCAGGCCACCCAGAGCAGCTGTGGGTGCCCCAGCCCTGGCGGTGCTGGGTGGGATTTGGGCAGGGGGTGGGATTACCTGGTCTTCAAGGTCTTACCCAGCCCCAACCACCCTGTGGTTCTGTGATCCCATTCTCAGGAGGTTACAACTGTCTCGTGGGTCTGTCACTCTTGTGCCACGTCCCCTTTGTCCTGTGCTAGCGGGGTGTCCGTGGCCGAGCAGCTCCTGCTGTGCCGTCCTGCGTGGCCATGGGCTGTGAGCCTGCCCCATGCCCAGCGTGGTGTCCCCCCAGCGTGGTGTCCCTCCCAGCGTGGTGTCCCCCCCAGGCACACGAGCTGCTCCCTGGCCTCGCTGTCTCGCAGTCGGTCATGTCTTTGGGTTTGTGCACGGGAAAGACGGGCGCAGGTGACACTGGAGTGCTCCCGGTGTGCAGAGCTCTCGGTGCAGCATCCCCTTTGCCGACACGATGCTCAGGCCGTCTCTTTGCTTTGTTTCAGAAATCGAAGCCAAGAAAGCTTGCGACTGGCTGCGAGCGGCAGGATTCCCGCAGTATGCGCAGCTCTATGAAGGTGAGAGCTGCTTCCTCCTCTGCTGGGTTTGGGGACAGCCCAGCCGTGTTCGTGGTGTGGGGTCCGGAGGCAGGACGTGCAGCAGCACACGGCGAGGGGCAGCACCTCCGTCATCCTGCTGCCCCCCGGGGGCTCGGATCCGACCTGGGCAGGGGCGCAGAGCTTGGGGGTGGGGGGCTGTGGGATGGGGGCAGCCCCTCGCAGCTCTGCTGCTGCGGACGGAGCGGGGGGAGCAGCCCGGCAGCCCTGCTCCTCGCCCTGCAGCAGGCCAACAGCCAGCACAGCTCCAAACAGCCAGGTCTGGGCTCCTGGTGGCTGGACCTGGCCTGGGGATGTCTTCAGGGTCCCCAGCACGCCCTGCCTGTCACAGCTCTCCATCCAGCGGGGATGAGCAGAAAGTCCCCATCCTGCCCGTGGGCTTGGTTGTGTATCGCCTGAGTGCCAGGGGTGGCTGCAGGGAGAGGTCACGGAGCGCTGGGAGAGGGCAGGACGGCGGGGATTGCTTACTAATTACATGGTTATTCGTTAAAACGTTAAGCCCTCAGAGCAGGTTGTGGTGCGGAGAACCAGCCATGCTGTTAACTTCCCTGCATTCCTGAACCTTTCCCCTTTGGGCAGGGCTGTGGGGAAGCTCCCAGGGCACCCGGGCAGGGCAGGGCAGGGGCTGCGACCGTGCCCAAGCTTAGGGATGCTGCAGGGGGTGGGAGCACACAGCACGGGCACAAGGGGTAGGGAACGCAGGGAAGGGACATTTCCTTCCTCCTTCACTCCTGACACATCCCCGAGGCTGCTGCCCTGCCCTGGCAGCGATGCCTGTGCTCCCTGCACACGCAGCACTCCGTGCCTATGCCCAGCGGGACGGTGCTTGGAGGGGCCGGGTCCCACCTCCGCCCCCTCGCAGGCACTTTGCAATTACCTCTTCTGCAGCTCGTCTGCCCAGCTGTGCTTGCTCCGAGCCCGGTGGGCACACGGTCCCTGCTGGGACGGGGCCGAAGCAGCGCTTGCAGCCCGGCCCCGGCAGGACAATAGGTGGAAGCCCGGCCGCGGGGGGAGCGCCGCCAGCCATTGTTCGCCCGCTTCCACCGCCCCCACCCCTTCCAGCAGAGCCACGCTCCGGCCCCCTGGGTGATGGCTTTCCCGGCTGCCCCCTCGGCTCTGCTTGCTATTTCGGGGCAGCTCCCCGTGCACGGGCTGCCCAGCTCCTGCAGGTGAGCCCCAGCTCGGGGCGCTGCTGCAGCTGCGAATGAAGCAGCCTGGCCCCAGCCTCCCTGAGCAAGACTTTCCACATCCTAGAACTGTTTCATTCTCTTCTTCTCCCCAGCTGGCAGGGCTCAGCATCCCTTGGTAATTAGGCTCAATAGCTTCATTAACAACCAGACGTGGACTCGTGGTTAATTGTCCAGGTCCAGCGCAGCTGGTCCCAGCAGAGCTTTCTGGGTCTGCGTGGAGAGGAGCAGGGAACTGGATGGAGGCCCTCGGGCACCTCGCCACCCCCCTTAGCTTACAAAAAGTGCACTGCCCAGGGGCTCTGAGCATGCAGAGCCTTTCCTTGGTCCTCTAGCTGCTGCCCAGGGGATCTGGAACTACGGCAGCACCCTGCTGCTGCGGCTTCCTCCACGCTCAGGGACCCCTTAGCAGCTCTCAGCTGTCCCCAGGGGCTTTCCTCACCCTGGTGGATTAGTGGGCAAAGGGAGCCTGAGGGAGCAAGGGGTCAGTATACAGGCCAAGTGGTGTTTTATGGGTGCCAAGATCTCCCTCGAGCAGTGTTTGGAATGTGGCTGCTCTCCAAAAACCACCCTGGGCTGAGGCCACAGGTCTTCTCCACAGCAGCAGAAGCATCTCCACTGAGGCCACTATTCCCTCTGCTTTGTGGACCTGGATCTGGGGTCCAGACGTTGTGCCCGCTGCTGCTGGGTGCTGCACGGGGCCTTGGGCAGCAAATTATTGGGGTCGTGTCCCTGGGGAGGCGAGGTGAGGGCCTGCTGGGGCTGGTGGGTGCTGGCGGCTGCTCTCCAAGAGCCTGTGCCAGAAGCAGGCGGTGCCCGCAGGGCCGCAGGGGCTCCCTGCCTCGCTCATCCTCCTCTCGCCTTCCTCCCCAGACTCGCTGTTCCCGCTTGACATCGGCGCTGTGAAGAGAGACCACAGCTTCCTGGACCAGGACTCCCTCAAATCCCTCTGCAGGTAAAGCCCCCTCCCAGCCGGCTGACCCCCCGGGCGCCATGCTGTGCCTGCGCCCAGCCCTGCAGGGGCCGTGGATGCGTCGTGCCGCCACGTGGCTGTTGTGCGGGACGGACTGGTGCTGGGGGAACCACAGTGCACTGTGCTCTGGGCATGCAGAGAGGCTGGAGGACAGACGTTAGCCAGGAGTTCTGCTCTTTAACATTCAGGCCATGTTATAATTTCACGTGTGGGTACCTCCAGGCTGCAGAGCGCTGCTGAACGCGGATCAGGTGAGGGGGGAGCTGTAAAACTGAGCCCTGGTGCAAAGGGTTGGCTGCACCAGCTGCCTGTGCTCCGCTCCCCGCTGGCTGCTCTGGGCGATGCTTCATGTGCGTGGTCATCGGGAGAGCCAGGCTGCCCCACGCTTTCATGTTGCTTTGTCTTGCAAGGTGCTAAATAACGTCTGTGAGAACAAAGTGGAGGGGGGACACCGCACCTTGGGCACAGCGAAGGGATCTTGGCTGTTGGTGTGAGCCAGATTCGGGTCCAAGTGCCCGTGGGTGAGATGGTGGCTGGGGACAGATTTGCACTTGGTCACCAGGCGCATGCCACCTGCGACAGGGAGCAACACGCAGCGAGGGATTTGCTGAGTGTTTGTGCAACGTGAGCTGCTCTGTGGAAAGGACACACCGCTAGCTACTCCTCGCAGCAGCAGGGCTGAGAACAGCTCCGGGAGGTGCCACCGTGCGGTTTTCTGGCAGGGGAGCAGTGTGGGATTTTGGAGATGAGCTCTAAATGCTGCTGCCGTGACCAAGAGCAAACAGCCAGCAGGAGGGACCCCCCCGTCTGTCTGTCTGTCTGTCTGTGCTCGGCTTCTCCCGGCTGCGCTCAGCGTGGGGCGGGCTGGGGGGCTGTGAGGTGCTGGGGGGAGCACCTGTCCCCAGGCTTTCACATCCCTTTTGTCTTCCCCTGGCTGGCTGGAGGCGTTTTGGAGGTCGTCGTGCCCTGCTGGCCTGCAGCAGGTCATCCCCGTCCCGCAGCTCCTGGCAGCGGTCCCCTCGCTGCTGCCGCTCCCTCGCAGCCGGGAGGGCAGAGGGGTGGCAGCGGGGCCAGCCCGGTCCCAGCCCTGGCTCCTGCTCTCGTGGATAAGGGAAACGCTGCCTCCAGGGCTGCTTATGAGGTGGTGAACCTCCTCAGGTGGCCGCCAGGCACACCCAGGTCACCTCACCCTGAGCTGTGCACAGGCTGGATGCAGAGCACACACACACCATCACAATTTGCTGTGCGGTCACGGCTTTGCCAAGTCACCTTCCTGCCCCGAGCAGTCGCTCCCTGCAGCCCCTGTCCGAGCGCTGTCCTGGAGCCAGGCAGCTGCGATGAGCAGCGCTGTGAGGACGCTGCCGCCTGCTCCTCTTCAGGAGTTTTCAGCAGGATCGTGAAAGGGACACGAGCCACATTTTTGGTAAAATGTGCCTAAGGTTTTTTTATCAGCTGTGCAGAAATGCTGTTTGCACGCTGGAACAACAGTTCTGTTGTGCTTGTGGTGCTGTTTGCAGTACCATTGGAGCTGCAGGGCTCCCACCACCCGCTGCAGCCACCCGTGGGGGCAGCTCACAGCCCAGGATGAGCTGCGGAAGCCGGGGTGCACAGCGATGGGGTGGGACGGCTGCTGAGGGGCCCTGGCAGCACCCAAGGGTGCTATGAGCAGAAGGAGCCAGGCATCCTTTGATGCTGGGGCTGCTGCCGTGGGAGAGCACGCACGGGGCTGGGGTGGCTGCGGGTGCTGAGGCACGGCCGGGATGTCCTGGTGCCTGTGTGCGGGTGGCGAGCACTGCTCTGATGTCTGCCTGCACAACCCCTGCTGGCCTGCGACCAAACGCTCGTGCCACCGGCGTGATGGAGAGGTTTAAACTCCTCAGCTGCCGTGCCAAGGGCTCATGGGACTCGGTTCTTGCGCCGGGGTGAAGGAGGTGCAGAGTGCCCCCAGATCTCTGCAGGAGGAGGGCACAGCTTCGGGAGCCCATCTGGGGACCCTGCTCTGTGCTGGGAGCGGGCTTGGAGCTGCTCCAGGCTCCGCGTGTCCCATCCCTGGAGCCGCAGCTGCGGGGTGACAGGTGACCAGGCACAACAGCAGCTCAGAGACAAAAAATAGACAAAAAAAAATAGGAAAAGAAGGAAAGCACTGCAGGCAGAGCAGGAAGCCACAGCCGGGTAAAGCTCTCTCGTTTCCTTGCAGGAGGCTGATGACCCTGAACACATGTGCCTCCATGAAGCTGGAAGTCCACTTTCAGCGTAAACAGGTGAGTCCTGGGCCCGAGGGGAACGTGCACAGCTGGGGGGGCAGCGAGCCTGCTGTCCGTAATAACTGCAGGGTGTGCCAGGACTGCCCCTGGGCTGCTGCTGAGCACTGCTCAGCGCTCCCTGCCCTTCAGGTTGATGTGGCAGCGTGGTGTGTGCTGTGCTCTGTGTCACACCACGAGCTGGGGCTGGGTGAGACCCCGCTGTGGCACATCTCCACCCCTCGCTCCTTCTCCACCATCGCCTGCGCGGTGTCGGTGGCCCCCAGCTGCCGGGCAGAATGGCAGGAAGGCAGCAGCGCGGGGCATTGTTCCCGTGTCCGGGTCCCCTTCCCCGCAGCACAAAGAAGCGGAGGGGGAAGGGGCTGGGGTGTGCGAGGCTGGGGCTGGTCGCAGCTGTTGCAGCAGCAGCGAGGCCATGGGGTTTGGCGTGGGGGTGCTGGGGGTCGTGGCAGCAGGGTGCGTGGCAGCAGGGTGCGTGGCAGCACGCTTCGGTCTGCGCTGGCTCACGCGGGCTGAGTGTTTCTGCTGGGTGCGTGGGCACCGTGCCACCCGTTGGGGCACACCAGCGGCATGTCATGCTGCTATCAATACAGAGCCAGGGCCCGGGAGCTGCTCAGGGGAGTACAGAAATAGCACCTTCCCCTCGCCACGTGGCTCTTGAGCCTGGGCACAGCGATTCCTCCTTCTGCGTGAGCCCCGTGGCAGCAGGGGATGGAGCGGGTTGGCTGGGGGTGTACCGGGGCTGAGGGACCCCCCGGTCTGACCGTCCCCTCTTCTCCACTGCCCGCAGAATGAAGACTCTGAGGAAGAGGACCTGTGTGCCATCAGCAACCGGTGGGCTTTCCAGCGGGAAAGCAAGAGGTGGTCCCGCGTGGGCTCCGTCGACGTCCTCTCCCAGGCCTCCGAGGTGCCCAACTGCGCCATGCGGCAGGCGTCCAGCCGCGAGAGCGTCCTCACCGACCTCAGCACCAACCTGGAGGCCGTGTCCCTGCACAGCAGCGTCAGCACGGGCAGCACGAGCGGCACCCCCGGCATCGTGGTCACACCGCCCGAGCCGTCCCCTGCCCGTGATGCTGCCGCCGTCACCCAGCCCGGCCGCAGCTCCAGCGCCCGCTCCTTGGTGGAGCCGCCCTCCGGCCGCGAGGGCCCCAAGGAGAAGCTGAAGAAGCGAAGGTCTCGCAGCTTTCTGAAGAGGATCGAGTCCCTGCGAAGGAAGGACAAAGAGAAAGCTGGCCCGGATGAGAAGGGCGTCCCGAGCAGTGGTGGCATGGCCAAACCGGGCTGGGACTCCACCAAGAGCAACGGGGACCTCACGGCCACCAAGGGCAGCTCCCCTAAAAGAGGGGCTGCTGCCTCCTTCCACAGCAAGAAGCACTTCTTCTCGGTGTCGTACAGGACTAACCGCCTGCTAGGCTCGGGCAGGGGCAAGGGGAGCCCGGAGTCGAAGCGCACCGGGGTCTACCTGGAGGACTACGAGGCGGCCGTGGGCGCCGGCAGCACCTGGGCTGCTGGGGAGCGCCAGCCCCGGCCGGCGTGCCGGGGGGATTGCCTGGTCTACGTTCCCAGGGACCACAAGCCGGGCACCTTCCCCAAATCCCTCTCCATCGAGAGCCTGTGCCCCCTGGGCAGCAGCTCCCTGACCGGCTGGAAGGCGGGGGGCGAGCCCTGGGGGGCTGGCGGGGGGCGGAGGGGGCAGCAGCAGCAGCGGGGAGGGCTCGGCCTCCCCACGGGGCTTCGCCTGCCGCCGCCGTGGCTCCTGCAGCTCCCTGGGCAGCCGGGTGAGCGTGTACGACAACGTGCCCGAGCTCAGCAGCACCGAGGAGCTCGCCAAGTTGGACGGGGAGGTGACCTACCAGAACCTGGACGACATCCTGCAGCACATGTGGGGGCTGCAGCAGAAAGTGGAGCTCTGGTACAAGGCCATCTCCCCCAGCCTGGACGGGGAGGACGGGGGCGAGGAGGAGGAGGAGGAGGAGGAGGAAGAGGAGACGGACTCGGGCGGGGAGCCCACCTTCCCCTCCAACCTGCACTTCGAGGAGCGCTCCATGTCCGACGTCGGCACCTCTGCCAGCGACTTCGACAGCACGGGCAACTCCCTCAACGAGGCCGAGGAGCTGGAGATGCGGGAGCGCCGCGACTCGGGCGTGGGAGCCTCGCTCACCAGGCCCTGCAGGTACCAGGAGGGTCCCGGGGGGGTCCCAGGGGGCAGCCCACGAGTGTCACCAGCCCCCAGGCAGGGACACGGAGGCCGTGGGGGGGGCGAGCAGGGCCGGGCATGGCGCGCTGCTGCACTCTGCTGGCTGCACAGGGGTGGGATGGGATGGGATGGGGATTGGGATAGGATGGGATGGAGTGGGTTGGAATGATTTTTCTTTTTCTAGTGCTCCCTTGCGCTTTTCCCAAAGGGAACTCCAGCCGCTGCAGGGTTCTGTGGATTTTCAGCCCTGCTAGGCTGATGCTGGAGGGGCTGTGCCTGCGGGCAGGGCACGGATGGGTACACGGGTGGGTGCTTTCACGGGCTGGGAACGTGCCCCCTGCCCTGCTGGGCTCAGGGATGCTCTGGAGGCACTGGGCAGGAGCCTTCCCAGAGCAGCACAGACTGGGGAAGGGTTTCAGTGCTGGGCACTGCCTCGTTGGTGTCGTGTGCTGTTTAGAAAGTGGGTGTTGGAGGTGTCCCTTGGCCGAGGCGTTGCTCTGCGTGGTGGTCCTGTGTCTGCCCGAGCCCCTGCCCTCCCGGCAGGCTCCCAGGGGGGCTGCCCCAGCACAGCCCTTGGGTGTGGGCGCAGGCTGAGCCCGTGCAGCCCCACGGCTCTGCCCAAAGGGGAGGATGCTGGCTGGCAGCACGAGCACTCCTCTGAGGCAACAGAAAGTGTTTCTCTTTGTGTCTGTGCCCTGGCACCTTCTCGTGCTGGGTTTGTGAGGGGTAGGAAGCAGCACCTGTAGCCCTAGGGCTGGTGTTGGGCTTAGCCTGGCCACCAGAGTGCCCACACCGCCCCCAAAGCAGCGGGTGCCACGGAAAGCCTCTCCAACGCCCTCCTTCCCTGCAGAAAGCTGCGCTGGCACAGCTTCCAGAACTCCCACCGGCCCAGCCTGAACTCTGCCTCGCTGGAGATCAACCGCCAGTCCTCGGCACAGCTCAACCTGCTGCAGAAGTGCTCCCTGCTGCGGCTCACGGCCATCATGGAGAAGTACTCCGTGCCACACAAACAAGCCTGGACGTGGTGAGCTGGTGGGGATGGGGCCGGGAGGGGGGCCCCAGGGGTGGTGAACCCCATGTGAAGGTGATGGAGAGGGAGGGAAAAAACCTGAACCCAAGCTCTGTTTGCTCTGCGTGGTGGCTGCAGGCACCTGTGGAGCATGGAAAACGTTGCAGCCGTGTAAGAGTGAGATGATGGCTTTCTATCTAAGCCAAACACTAAAATCATGTTGGCTTAATAAAAGCTGTTGTGGCTCCTGTTCAGAACTTGTTGCCTGTACTCAGAGCACAGCAGAGGCATCCCCGCGGCAGTGGGTGCATCACACCCGGTGTCCCGCTGCCCCCCGCGCCGCCGAGGCAGCAGGTCACCGCCCTGACCGTCCGTCTGTCCCACCCCGCAGGACTGTGCCCAAGTTCATGAAGCGGAGCAAAGCCCCCGACTACAGGGACAAGGCGGTGTTCGGGGTGCCGCCCATCATCAACGTGCAGAGGACGGGGCAGCCGCTGCCGCAGAGCATCCAGCAGGCGATGCGCTACCTCCGCAGCCAGTGCCTGGACCAGGTGACGCCGCTGCCCCAGGGTGCTGCTGGGCTGCACTTTTTGTAGTTTTTGTAGTTTTCATAGTGCTGTGGCATAGGTTGTCTGTGGGAATTTTGCATCTCTCGGTGTGTCCTCGGCCATCCCGCAGCCGGGCTTTTGTCTGGCACGGCCAGGCAGGGGCAGGGCCAGCCCTGCCTCGCGTCCCAGCGTGGCTCCCTGTTCCCCCAGGTCGGCATTTTCCGTAAATCGGGGGTGAAGTCCCGGATCCAGGCGCTGCGGCACATGAACGAAACCAGCCCCGACAACGTCAACTACAAGGGGCAGTCTGCGTACGACGTGGCCGACCTGCTGAAGCAATATTTCCGGGACCTGCCGGAGCCCATCTTCACCAGCAAGCTGACCGACACCTTCCTGCAGATCTACCAGTGTAAGGGGGGCGCGGGCGGGGGCCTGGGCTCGGGGCTGGCGGCGCGGGGCCGGGGTGGCCCCGGGGGCCAGGCGCTGACAGCAGGCGTTGCCCCAGTCGTGCCGAAGGAGCAGCGGCTGCAGGCGGTGCAGGCTGCCATCATCCTGATGCCGGACGAGAACCGCGAGGTGCTGCAGACCCTGCTCTACTTCCTCAGCGACATCGCCTCGGCCGAGGAGAACCAGATGACCGCCGGCAACCTGGCCGTGTGCCTGGCGCCCTCCCTCTTCCACCTCAACGTGTCCAAGAAGGAGAGCACCTCGCCGAGGTGAGGGCGCCGCTCCCCCTGCCCTGCTGTGCGGCGTGGGGTTGGGGTTGGGGCTGGGGGTAGGCACCCCGGGTGAGGGCACCGCTCCCAGCGCCTCGTGCCGCCCCGCAGGGCCATGCACAGGAGGGGCACCGTGGGGAAACCCGACCAGAAGGACCTGAACGAGAACATGGCTGCGACGCAGGGGCTGTCCCACATGATCACCGACTGCAAGAAGCTCTTCCAGGTGGGTGGCTGCCCCGGGGGTTTCATGGAGGGCACTCGGCCTCCAGTGGGGCAGTGCCACCACTCGGGCAGCCCCAGGCTCAGTGAGGGGCCAGCGAAGCCCTGCTCGTGGCTGGATGGCTCACAGGCTGCAGGATGTAAGCCCAAGCAGGCTGTGTCCGTCCTTCCCCCCTCCTTTGTTCAACAAGTTGCTGCCGGGACTCTGAAGACCTGTGTGCTCTTGCTTTTAGGTCTCCCACGACATTCTGCTCCAGCTGAGCAGCTCCTATATGGCAGCCGATGCTTACCCCCATCCCCTGGCTGACTTTGTGTGTCAGGGGGAAAGCAAGGATTTACACTCCTACTTTGAGCAGAGCGTCCAGAACCTGCTCAAAGAGTCATCGGAGAAATTCAAGGGGTGGCTGAGCACCCCAGGACCCCTGAACACGGAGCTCTCCTGCAAAAAGGTGAGTGCCACCGCACACGGGGCGTCCTCTCCAGCAGCCAGAGGAGCTCTGCCACCCCCTCCCACCCCATCCCGTGCTCCCCCTAGCCAGCAGCTGTGATGGTGCTGCTCCACGGTGGTGAGACCCCTTGGTAAAGCCTCTCGGGGCTCCCAGGACAGCCGCCTGACCCTTCTGCTTGTCCCTGGCAGGTTGGGGACGGGCACCCTCTGCGCCTGTGGAAGGTCTCCACGGAGGTCGAGGCGCCTCCCTCGCTGGTGCTGCACCGGGTGCTCCGGGAGCGGCACCTGTGGGACGAGGACCTGCTGCAGAGCAAAGTGGTGGAGGCCCTGGACAAGGACATGGAGGTTTATCACTACGTGACAGACAGCATGGCCCCCCACCCGCGCAGGGACTGCGTGGTGCTCAGGTGAGGGCAGGGGGCACCCGAGCCCCGGGGCTTTGCTCTGTCCCCGGGCTCCCCCGGCTGAGCGGGCGCTGTGTCGGCAGGCGCTGGCGCACGGACCTGCCGCGGGGAGCCTGCCTGCTCATCTCCATCTCGGTGGACCACGACAAGCTGCAGGTGGAAGGCGGCGTCAAAGCCGTGGTGCTGACGTCCCAGTACCTCATGGAGCCCAGCGGCATGGGGCGCTCCAAGGTGACGCACATCTGCAGGGCTGACCTCAGGTAGGGGACACCCCCGCTGCCTCGGAACACGCGTGCCTTCTGCTGCTGCATAGTGCTTGTTGGTCATCTCCCAGCCCACGGCAGCTGGAGCTGTGCTGAGCAAGAAGGGAGGTGCTGCTTGCTGGTGCGGGCCGGGGGCTGCCCTGCCCGCTCAGCCCTCGCTCTGCCTTGCTCCCTTCCAGGGGCCGGTCTCCGGAGTGGTACAACAAGGTCTTCGGGCACCTCTGCGCCATGGAGCTGGCGAGGATCCGAGATTCCTTCCCAGCACTGAGCCCAAACGGCCCCGAGACCAAGATCTGAGGAGCTGGGAAGCTGCTGTGTCCCGTCGGACCGCGGACTCACCAGTCAGCTGGGCTGGGGCAGGCGCAGGGGAGCGCGGAGCTGGCATCCAGCTGCGCGGGGGCACCCCCAGGCACATATTTATAAGCTTCCTTTTAACCTGGGCCGGGGCCCCCCTCTGGAGAGCCATGGGCTGCTGCAGCCATGCAGGGGGCCTTCACTCCTCCTGCCGTGGGGCTCTGCCACCACCCCTTCAGGGGCAGGGGCAGCTGCCCCCCCCCACCGTCCCCGCTGCTGCCCCTTCCCCAGCGCGGAGAGGCGAAGCCCTGCACCACAGGGGGTCTGCGGGTGGGATGGGCGAGCGAGGTGCTGCTCAGCCACGGGAAGGAGAGGGGGCTCGGGGTGACCCCCAGGAGGAAGGCAGCCGGCCCAGGGTGAGCTGGGTCCCCCCGTGAGGCTCAGCTCCCCCAGGCCAGGCATGGTGGTGGAGGTGTGGGGCGAAGCAGGAGCAAGAAGGGGAGATGTGAGGGGGGGGGGACAGGGCCACGGCCGTAGGTCATGGCGCTGTGTTGGGAAGTGAGGGGTGGGCAGTGAGGGGTGGGCGTGCGTGGGTTGGCACCCGGCAGGGGTCAGGCAGGGGGGCAGGCTGGGGCTGTGCTGAAGGATGCTGTGATGGGAGGGAACGGTGTGGAGATATTACAGAGCCAGGTAGGGACAGCCAGCGCCGAGGGGCAGAAGGAAGCCCTTGCTGTCACCTCTGGTGCCCAGTTTCCTAGGAGGTGAAGGAGAAAGCTCTCTAGTTCTAGTCCAGTGCCGTGTTAGCTGCCTTGCTCAGCTGGAAGCCCCCCTGTGCACTGGGGGCTGGATGGACGCGGTTCCAAGCCACGTCCCATCCCTCCAACCTGTTGTACCGGGCAGCTGGAAGGAGCAGGACAGGGCTGGGAACCCAGAGCAGCCACCGAGAAGCTGGTGACGGGGGGAGCGCGCTGAGGAGGCACCGCGGGGACAAGGGATGTGCCCAGCCCTCGTGGGGCTGAGACTCACCCTGGGTTTGGGCAACCACAGGGCACGGAGCTGCCCCTGCCTCTGTGCCCAGCACTCCCTCAGCTCCCACCTCGTCCCTTCCTTTCCTCCTCCCCGAGGAGCCGTCCGACCTCGCTGCCAGCACTCGGACCTGACCTGGTTTCTCCGTTTCGGCAGGGACCCAAGTTACTCGACGTCGTTCCAACTGGAAGGCAACACGACCCACGTGCGGGAGCAATTCCCCATGCCAGTTTTGCCATAACAAATCCTGTCTGTCTCGTGGTGAAAAAAACAACCCAGTCTATTCTTGTTTTTATATATATATATTTTATATATATATAAAAATATAACTAACTCTTTTGAGGGAGTGATTTTTCTCCTAATATTTTTTTAAAATTTCTTTTTTTTTCTACCTATAAATACTTGTACAGTTGGAATATTAATATATAACTCCGGCGGTAGAGCTCGGCGCCAGGCGATGTTCACTTCAAAGCCGTGTTTTGTATTTAAGGGACTGCTCCTCGTTTTGTATCATATGCAACAGGATGTTTGACTTGGATGGGGGCTGCTCTTCCCGTCCGTGTAATTAATAAAGTACTAACGATAGCTGCTGGCTGGTGCTGGGGGGGTGCTGCTGGCCGATTCCCCAGCCCCGGGACCTCGTGGGGCTGGGCACTGCTTTCACCTGGTGGCTGGAGCCATCAGGCCCCACATCCAACATTTCGGCAGAACGAGGCCAAAGAAGGCACCCGAGAGCAGCCGTGAATTGGGCGGCAGGAGCCGAGCCCCCCATGGGGAGCTTGCTGCCCCCTAAGCCCCCAGACCCACACGAGCACCATGGTGGCAGCGAGCAGCTGACCTCGAGGTGCTCGGGCCCTTCGTGGCACAGCCACTGCCTGCTGCAGGGGAAGATCTGACAGGGGAGATGTGGAGATCCCCTGGGGTGTCCTTGTGCCGCCGGGCAGCGTCAGGCGGTGCTGGTGGGTGGCACTGCCAGCACGGAGCTCCTCTGGGACTGCTCCGACTGCCTGGCCCGCAGGCAGCCCTTCAGCTGCTCCTGGAAGGGGGCAGTGGTGATGGTGTAGAGGATGGGGTTGAGGGCGCTGTTGATGGGCAGGATGAAGATGACCACCCAGGAGGTGACGGTGCCTGCGTGCCACCAACGAGGACACGGCGTTAGGCGGCCAGGGCCCTGCCTGGGGGAACCCACCCATGCAACAGACAGGGGCAATCCCATTCCAAGCTCATGGCCACAGAGGGGGTCACAAGTGCTGCTCTCTGGGGAGCTGCAGGGGGCCAGGGTCCACTTTGGGATGGGTGATGCTCACCCCCTGCACTCAGACACCCACCCTTGGCAGCACCCACACCGAGGGGCCCCCACCCAGGGGCTCTGGGCTGACAGCGGTGGGCCTGGGTCCTTCACCTGGTATTTCCACCTGCAGCAGGGAGAGCAGCTTGAGGAGGAAGATGGGTATCCAGCAGAGCGCGTCGGTGATGACGATGAAGAAGAAGCGCTTCGCGATGGCGACTTCCCGGGAGCAGACGCTCCGCGGGGCCGTCCTGGAGGCGGTGACGCGGATGGAGTAGAACATGCCGGTGTAAGCGAAGACGATGGTGATGAAGGCTGCGAGGTTCAAGCCTGGAGAGGAAGAGGTTTCCCTCCGAGCACCTCGGCTGGGCTCGTGGTGCAGCAGGACCGGTCCCACTCCCCACTAGAGGGGGCAGAGGCAGCTCCGCAGCCAAGGCTCGCCCCAAACCCGGGCGCACTGAGCCACCCCCTGCCACTGGAACCCCGTCCTGCCCCGCTCCATCCCCGTCCCTGTCCCCATCCGGAGGGGCTCACCCAGGTAGATGGTGGTGGAGTAGCCCCTGGCGCTGGGCCGCTCGCCCAGGTCGGACTGCAGCGGGAAGCAAACCCCGTTCCGGCCGTAGTAGTTGCCAAAGGACTCCTTGCACCACAGGGGGACGAGGCTGAGGGAGAAGCCCAGGAGCCAGATGGCAGCCAGCACCGAGACGGTCTGCCTCCTGCCCGCCCGGTGGTGGCTGAAGGGGAAGACGATGGAGAAGTACTTCTCCAGGGTCATGTAGGTCAGCAGCAGGACGGACACCTCGGAGGACAGCATGGCCAGGCTGCCCAGCAGCTGGCACTGCAGGCTGCCCATCCAGCCCTGCGCGTGCTTGTTGTACTCGCCCGAGTACTTGAGGTCGAAGGCGCCGATGACGAAGAGGTAGATGCCCATCAGCCCGTCTGCACCTGGGGGGAGGCAAGGCAGGGTGAAGGGGCAGCTGCAGGGGGCACTCAGCGCCCTGCAGGGCCACGAAGCCACCGCAGAGCTGCTGTGGGCACGTGTTAGAAGAGCTGCCCCACGGCACCACAGTGCTTATAAGCACGGGCAGGAGCCGAGATGTGCCAGGAGCACACCTGGCAAAGGCATAAAAAGAAAGCTGGGCAGCAACGGACCCTGGCCATGCTGGTTTGGGGTGGTGTGAGCTGGAGAGCCCCCCCGTGCCCTCCCCACCACTCCCAGCTCACAGCACAGGGATTTGATGGCCATGGCGTGCTGGCTGTTCTCCGCGGCCACGAGGGAGCGCATACAGATGACGAGGAGGTTGCCCAGGCAGGTGACGCAGGCGATGACCCAGACGAAGACGCGCAGGATGATGTTGGCCAGGAGGTGCTCGAAGGAGGAGATGCCGTCGGTGTTGGGCTTGCAGCTGCGCACGTGGGGCGCGGAGCTGCAGTACTGGAACTTCTTGAAGTAGCTGCTGGGAGGAAGGGGCTGGCTGCCACCCGGCCGGCCTGCACGGCCCTCCTGCTGCCACAGCCACCTCCTCCAGCACACCCAGTGCTCGTCCCTGCCTGCATGGAGCAGGGCCAGCCGGACCCTCCCGTCACTAGCCACGAGCCTCGGAGCTGTCACTGAGCAGGGACAGGACAAGGGGACAGGACGCAGGAGGTGGCACACAGCCCTCTGCGGCAGCACCCAGGACAGGGGAGGAACGTGCAGAGAGGAGCGGAGCTGACCAGGGGTGTAGGTTGCAGTGTCTGCACTCTGGTTTGGACACCAACTAAGCAACAGCCCCAATCCTTTGCAGAACAGGCAGGAGGCACCCCAATGCTTTCCTGGATCGAGCACGGCACAACCACGCTTGTACCTGTCACTGTTAGCTAATAGAGAGGAGTGTTTTCCTCCAGCCCTGCCGCTCACAAACATTTAAAAACCATTCCCTTGTTCAGGTCTCTCAACTTCCATTAGCAGGGATTCAGATTTTCCCCCTGCATATTATTTCAGATTAATCTTCTCAAGCCTTATAAAAGCAATCCCTTACAAGCTGAGTAAAAACTCCGCATTAGGAAATGACTACAAAACTGCAATGCAAGGCTCGTTTCTGCTTAATTATAGATAAAAGGGGAGAAAATGATTGCTTATTAGCAAGTCAGGTAGAAAATGTACCGTATTTACAGTCCAAACAGACCAATTACAGAAAGGAAGAGGTACGGTTGTCTTTCATTACAGGTACTCTAAAATGTGCATCTGGAGATAATTAATGATTTTTTTTTTCCTATCCTTCCAAAGCAGAGCCCCAGCACTCCCAGCTGGCTCCTCGGCTCTGCTTCCACCATGCGTGGTGCCTGCCTGGTGCCTGCCCGGCCTTCCTGCCCATCTCTGCTGTCCTTGGGCCGTTACCTCGGGCCCAGGCACCTCGGAGGGGACACTCGGGCACACGGCGCTGTGCACACCTCGCCCCACACAGCCCACCCCTCCTGTGCAATGCACACTCAGAAGTGTGCATCGATCCTCATGTGGCATGCACTGGGGGGGATAATCTGCAGCTTGGTGGGGGATAAATGCCCCCGCTGCCCCGGCAGGGGGTCCTGCACGGGGAGCTGCAGGCACGGCGTGCGCGGGGGCCGGCGCCGCCTGCTCGGTGCCAGGAGCGAGCTGGTGTCAGCCCCCCCACTCACATGTGCGAGAGGTTGGCCAGCCTGTGGAAGGTCAGGTTGTGGATGTTGGGGATCTCCAGCCCCTCCAGGCTCCTGCAAGGCAAAAGCAGGGCAGGGGAGGCTGGGAGCTGCTGGGCTGGCCTCGGTGCTGCTGCGGGGCTGGGGACGCCGTGGGACTCACAGGGACTGCAGCTGGGGCAGGCTCTCAAACTGCCCGGGGAAGATCTCCTTCAAGGGGTTGTAGGAAATATTCCTGAAAGGAAGGAAAGCGGTGCTGTTTTTCCCACCTGGAAGCTATCAGAGGAGCTGGAAGTGAGGACAGAGGGGAGGCTTTCCTGGCTTCTCCCCAGCACCCCCCACCCCCAGGAAGGGCGCACAGCCCCGGAGCAGAATTGCGCAGCGCCTCGCAGGGGCCGGGTGCTGGCTGCCCCCTCCCCATGGTGGCTGGGTGCCCCGGTACTCACAGCTGCTGCAGGTCGGCCAGGCCATTGAACAGCGATGCAGGGAGCTCATCTAGCCTGTTGCAGGACAGGTCTCTGGCAGAGCAGGGCGGTATTTGAGAATTCACGAGGCCACCTGCCCGCAGGCTCTGCGCCCACCTTGCCAGTGCCACCGAGCCGCACAGGGTGGGCAGGGGGCACACAGCCCCCACACAGGGAACACGACGGGGGGACACTTACAGCTCCACCAGCCTGTTCAGCCTGGAAAACGTCCCCCCTTGGATCCACCTGATCCTGTTCCTGCGCAGGACCCTGAGCGAGGAGGAGGAGGAGAGCGTGGATGCAGCGGAGCCTCGCGCACCATCTGCAGCATCACCTGGCACTCAGGGTGCTCTGCTCGGGGCACATCCCTGGGGTGCCCCCAGCCCCACCGAGCCCAGCTGTATCTATCCCCCTGGGAGACATACAGCCATCGCACACGGGGACACCCCGGGAGAGGCCTGGGCATTACCAGGGTGAATTCTTTTCCTCTGGCAGCCCCAGGAAGGCTGCGTGAGGGCCCGCAGCACAGCACAGCCCAGCCCAGCAGCAGCACAGGCCCTGGGCAGGGGGGCAGGCGAGCAGAGCCGCTCAGGGTTTGACACACAGAGCCAGCTCACAAAGTTTATGGCGCTCCTCAGAGATATTTTTAGGGGATTCGGATGCCAGCAGAAGGCTTTGGGCTGGCCGTGAGCCTCGTTGCTTGCGCACCATGGGAAGCTTTTTCCGTGCTGCGCCCTGCCTCTGACCCTGCTCGGTTCCGGCAGCCCCAGGCTGCTGCTGGCGGGGAAACCCCCCCTCCGGACCCAGAGCTGCAGGACACGGCCCTGGGGTGCCCCATCAGGTCCCTACAGAGCTGGTATCAAATTCATGAAGCCGACAGCAATACAAATATGGAGCAAAACCATTCCCGTGAAACACAGCCCCTCGCCTAGCAGCTGAAACACAGCCCCTTGCCTAGCCCAGAGCAGAGGGAAGAGGGGTCCGAGCAGAGCCCCCCCCTGCCCCCAGCCCACCCAGGGGTGTCCCTGGGGTACTCACAGCACGGTGAGCTCGCGACACTCCTGGAACACGGCCCCATGCACCGCCCGGATCCTGTTCCCCTCCAGATCCCTGCAGGAAAGGCGGTTTTGTGGCTGCATCCCTGTCCCCATCCCCATCCCCACCGGGAGCCTCCAGCC